AATCTCAACCGGAGGGGTTTCACAAACATTTTCAAATGCCACCCAAAAATCCAAAAACCCAATTCTTCAATTCCCAATATCCAATCTTTCCAATCTCAAATTCATTGCTGCTACTATATGCCAGATACACGTATTCTATACGTATCTGATTGACGACTAGCCTTAATCGAAAGTTCTCTCTCGTGATCGGGAGGGGTAATTAACTATAGGGGCTTGCGCCTATAGGAAACTAGAACTCAGATCATAAAGTCCTCGCAAATGAGGGCGAAATCTCTGGGTAGTGTCTTATCTACAAACCCATCTGCCTTCCAAAATTTACCTCGGAACTTAGTTCGTTAAAACTCCCTCGCCGAATATAATAAGAAAAGCGAGTGGAGGCCGAGGCCGAATTTTCGGAGCCCACAAACTCACAAAGAGATCTAGCTTCTCCTACGAACTCACTAAGAGATCGTGGAGGTTTGCACTCACAAAGAGAATATGAAATGTCAAATTTGCATTCATCAAAAAACTAACTATTACATAAGAAAAGGGCCATATAAATAGGCCTCAAAATGACAAAGAAAGCAAAAGAATAAAATGCCCCTTGAGCTACAATAGCTACCAAATACCCATGAGGGCAAAAACGGAAAAACATAAAATAAAAATAATCTACTGCATAAAATGATGAAAATACAGATCATGATCGTGGCCTTCGATCTCCGGCATCTCCTGAAGGTACATGTGTCGAAATCGCTGCTGATGTCCCTATCACACTTTGCATGCAAAGTGCTTTGTGAAGTTCTAGATATGGACTATACCAAATAATCTTGGGTCATCTTTGGCAATTTGATATGCTGCTTGGTATGGTTGCCCTGTTAATTTATGTTTTGATTGGAAGGGCAAGAAGATGAGGCTGTTACCCTAAGGTTTGAAACTAAACAAAGAATGCCCATTAAACGAGCCACATTCACCAACATCTCCAGACATCAACTACTCGCTGCTTTCAAGAAAAATTCCCAAATGTTCGCTAGCTTACTCACCAAGCACTCAATTTGGTACACCAAAACTTCTAGCGTTATAATTGAATTTATTACAACAAGTTAGTGATCTTGTGCCATATGAACTTCTAGTTTAAGTACCACCATTACGAACAACCCAACAACACATTCTTAATTTTGGGAGAAACACTACCCAACTTTTTGCACTACAAAATGTGCTCTTGCCTTCACGAGAACTTCAAATCCTCCAGGATATCGTCGATGATCTTCTCAAAAAGAACCTTATTCCCCACAATTTGAGTTTATGCACTGACCTGCTCTAATTTTTTCTAAAAATAATGACACTTGGAGACTATGCATTGACAATAGAGTAATTAACAAAATCACAATCAAATATAGGTTGCTATCTTCCTCCAAGTCAGGGCTTGAGGATATGGATAAACTAGATTAGTCTAGATGGTGTTGCTATCTTCTCCAAGTCGAACCTCTAGAATGGGCATCATCATTAAAATTTTTTCTAATGATGAAAAGAAGATAGATGCTTTGGCTATTAGGATAGGCTCTTTCTTGTCTCAATGCAGTAAATTGATAAAAAAGTTCAGTGTGAAGTTGAGTCTAGCTAGACAAAGATGGTCGACTTAGGAGACAAGAATTCTACACCATTGTTCAAGCACTAAAGTAATAGAAACATTACTTACTCCATCAAGAATTCATCTTATTCAGCAATAACTTATCTTTTTTAATTTTTAAACTCCCCAAAGAATTTGAACCATATGCATGCACGTTATGTTTCTTCAAAAGTTTAAATTTCATTGGCATTTGTATGAATCCTTTAATGACTTTGCAATTCTCTAGGAAAATGATGTTAATCATTCCCAACAACAACAACAACAACATCAAGCCTTTATCCCACTACGTGGGGTCGGCTACATGAATCCTTTTTCTCCATTGTGTCCTATTAAAAGCCAAATTCTCGTTTAAATCTAATAAAGAAAGGTCATTCCTAATATTTTCTAACCAAGTCTTTTTAGGTCTACCCCTACCTTTCTTAACACAAGTCAAATCTAATACCTCTACTCTCTTAACTGGGTCGTCGGAAGGCCGCCTTTTTATGTGACCAAACCATCTAAGGCGACTCTCTCTAATCTTATCTTCTACTGGAGCTACTCCAACCTTTTCACGTATATGCTCATTTCGTATCCTATCTCTAAGGGTAAAGCCACTCATCCATCTAAGCATCCTCATCTCTGCCACACTTAACTTAGTATTATGCTTCTCTTTTAATGGCCAACATTCGGCACCATAAAGCATTGCAGGCCTCACTACCATCTTATAGAATTTTCCCTTAAGTTTGAGGGGTACATTTCTATCACATAACAAGCCCGATGCATTCCGCCACTTCAACCATCCAACTTGAATTCTGCTGATAATATCCCCATCTATTTCACCATCACTCTGAACAATAGATCCAAGATACCTAAAACGTGTACTCTTATTAATGACTTGATCGCCCAAAGTCACAATCCCCTCACTAGGACTATTACTACTAAAATTACACTCCATATATTCCGTTTTAGATCTACTCAAGCGAAAACCTTTAGACTCTAAGGTTGACCTCCATAATTCAAGTTTACCTTCAACTCCCTCTCTAGTCTTATCAACAAGAAGAATATCATCAGCAAAAAGCATACACCAAGGTACATCATCTTGCAAATGTCTAGTGAGAACATCCATGACTAAAGCAAATAGATATGGGCTTAAGGCTGATCCTTGATGTAACCCAACCGAAATAGGGAAATACTTGGTCAAACCACCTTGTGTTTGAACACAAGTAATAGCTCCTGCATACATATCTTTAATGATTTGAATATAAGCATTATTGACTCCTTTCTTATCAAGAACTCTCCATAGCACTTCTCTTGGAACTTTATCATATGCTTTTTCTAAATCAATAAATATCATATGTAGATCCTCCTTATTTCCTCTATATTTTTCCATCAAACCTCTGAATAAATGTATGGCTTCCATAGTCGACCTACCCGGCATAAATCCAAATTGATTTTGAGAAACATTAGTATCACGCCGCAACCTATGCTCTATAACTCGCTCCCATAATTTTAAAGTATGACACATTAACTTAATACCTCTATAATCATTCCCAAATCAAGGATTTTTCACTGCAGTGGGGATTCCTATTCAATAGAAATCGATTGTGCATCTCGAACACCTCACTTCAATAGCAATTGACCAATGAAATTTATGGAGGACTAGTCCTCACATCGGACAAAACAAGTCCCTGACATTCTTTCAAACTCATTTCTTTGGCCTAAACTACAATAGGACATCTATCATTTATTAAAAAATGTGTTATTTTCCGGGCATAAAAATGTGCCACTCAAGACATAGGGTTGTATTTCCATTGCCAATTGTTAGTTTCATTTGGGAAGGCCTTAGTCTTGATTTCACTTTGGGACTACCTAAAACACAATGTGCAAATTCATTCATGTTTGTTGTTGATTGATTTTAAAAAATGGTAAACTTCATAACTGGTAAGAAAATTTTTGATGTACTAAATGTTGCTCGTATTTTTTTCAAAGAAATCGTGCACCTCCGTGTTCTTCCTTAGAGTTTGACATCAGATCATGATGTTAAATTTATTAGTTTTTTTTTTTTTTTTTTGTGAGAGTTATGGAATTGTCTTAAAACTTAACTTCACATGGGCTCAACTTATCATGCTCAAGCCGATGAGCAAACTGAGGTACTAAGTGCTAATTGACAGCCGACAAGATAACAGACAATATGATCTGTTATCTTGTCGGAAACCACCCGAAGTGTTGGGATTAGGATAAACAACACGTGCCTACAACTCTATAGCCAACAGATCCATGATAAAATGCCCATTCATTATTATTTATTTTAAAATACCTAACCATACAATCCATCTTGCAATCATTTCCAAAGTGCGGAGCAAACTTCTTATTGACTTGGTTACTAATTTCAACGATATGGTTCAAGATGTTTAGAACAAATTGACAGCAGCTAATATAAGCTATAAATAGCACGTAGATTTATTCTGCCAACTCAAGATCTTCAAGTTGAGAGGCTTAGTAATAATTCATCTTTGCAATGAGCGATTACCTACTGATGCCTAATTAAAATTAAAGCCACAAAAACTTGGGCCATCCCCTATTTCTAACCATATCAACAAAAATGCATATGTTGTTTCCCTACAACCAAACTTAAACATTTCTTCTACCTTCAACATTGCAGACATTTACATCTATCCCCCTCCAGCTGATAGTATCATGCACCTCGCTGAACTTGATTAGAGTTCTTTTTGAGAAGGAGAGAACTGATGCAGCTTATTCCTCTACCTTCAAATCACGGAAGTCTATTCTGTATTGCGACCTTTTCCTCTGTTTATTGCTGCATTACTGCGCTTGTTTTAGTAGATATAATGGTATTCGTTAGCACTTAAAATGGTTTACCTTCTTCATGTAACTATTCTAACCGTCACATAGAGGAGAGGTCATTCTTTTTTTGTACTTACTTCGCTCTGGGAATTACCACATAGTAAAAGGATTTTTCTCTTTTTCCTTATCTTCTTCCTTCTCTTGTTGGCTTCCACGACACATTTTTTTGTTGTAGTTTGAATTGCTTTTCTCCTGCAAGCGCTGCACCAACCCAAAGTATACTTGGATGGAAATCCAATTAAATGAATTGGTGGTGCGATTCTGAATTATTGAACCCCCAAAGTGGAGGAGGAAATTATGTTTTTCTTCGCATCTGTTCTCGTTTTCAACAAATGAATGAAGTTTGAATAATTATTCTTTAGTTTTAATATCAGTATCTCTTACGTCACAATTTCATCGCAGTTGTTTTTTACCATACAAGCTTTTGTTGCATTTGATGTCTAATCTTTTAATCTCTTAGTTTCTTTAGATTTAACTAGTTTTTGCTTTCAGACAATGTTAATTTGACCAAGTTCTTCTGGCTAATGTTCTTTCTCTGATTTTTATACAGGCGGAATATGAAGGGATAAAAATGAAGGAGGTAATGAGTTCTGTAGACCCAGCTCTTTGTTATTTTATTGTTATCTTTTTCTCTTCTTGAACTCGTTAAAGGTTAAGCAGCATTGTTTTGCAAATCCTTGGATGGCATCTGTGTTTATGCCAGTTGTGGCTGTTTCCCAAAAGAAAAGAAGATAAAGATGATCAATTTGTATTGTCCTAACCAAATAGAAGTGCACTTCTTTTAACTTCATTGTGGCTATGACTCTTTCCCTTCTATGACTCTTTCCCTTCTTTCTCTGCATTCATTCAGAATTGAGCTGGTCAAGGCAACTTAGTAACTATATCTTTGATCTTTTAGTTTTGTTGATCTTTTGTTTTTTATTTTTTTTGGCTAAGATATGAGAAGCATGTGAGTGTTCTGTCTTTATCATTTTTATTGAACGCTTTACTTCATTCAATCATATCACTGTCTTGGAATTTGATTAATCTAATAGTCGCTTGAGTATTCATTTTGTCATTTTGTATCTTTCTGAATGTGAATTCCCTCTTTTCAAATAATTATGACAGTCCTATGAGGTGAATTCTAGAGGTCTGGAAATATTCACTAAACGTTGGCTTCCAGAGAATTCTCCAGTAAAGGCATTAGTATTTTTCTGTCATGGTTATGGAGACACCTGCACATTTTTTGTTGAAGGTATTCATGCTCTTGAACTCGTACCACTGTTTTGGTATCTGTGGAATGTTTAACGGGCTGCAACTTAATGATTACATGTTCACCTTTGTGTAGGTATTGCCAAGAAAATAGCCTCAGCTGGCTATGCTTTTTTTGCTATGGATTACCCTGGTTTTGGTCTTTCAGAAGGACTACATGGCTATATCCCAAGCTTTGATAATCTTGTTAATGACGTGGTTGAGCATTTCTCCAAAATTAAAGGTAAATTTTTTACATAATTTGCTAGCTGGAACAGTAAATTTGCATGGTGTTCCTTGTGTTGCACTTATTGAAAGAAAATTGTGCTCTGACCCAAGAAAAGAAAAGAAAAGAATAAGAGTTTGTCATTGCAGCTCTTATTGCTTTTAGATGCATTACTATTGCTTTCTGTCTCATTAGCCATGCATATCATTAGTTTTTTGACAAAGCAACTGGTTTGGGTTGAACATTGATCACATTAGCCCACTTCAAACTCGCTTCTTCTCTGCCTAAAATTCTATTTTCTAGTCTTGCACCTTTTTTTATTTTGTACTGTACTTCTATTCCGTAAGTTAGTTACCTGCTATCAAATGTTAGGGGATAGAGGCAATGTGCACCCATATACTCCTTAGGGAGTTAGGAGAGTGGTTTGTTTTTCTTTTTTCTGGTTTTAAAGATAAATTTCAAAATCCAGTTTTGTATTTCTTGGAGGAACACCATTCATGCTCCCTTGTCGAAGAACTCATTTTCCCAAGCAGCATTTGTCGACTTATTTTCCTACATCAACGAGTAGCAGAGCCTAACGAACCCATTCTATGGCTAGCAGTATATGCAAAGATCACCTCCTTGAAGGCGAAGTTCTCATTGTGTATGCCCTTTAGGTGGGCATAATCGCATTGGAACGGTAGATCGATGCCTCACGTCGGATGTTGAAAAGATTCTTGCTAAAGTTGCCAATTAGAATCATAAACCCCAGCTGCACTATAGTCTCGCGTCTCTCAAAAATAGGGCTAATCAGAGAAGTTTGACTAAGTAAGATGGACACATTTTTTATAGCATATGGTATGCAGGTTCTTGATAAATGATTGAGCTGAATTTTTTGTGAAAAAGTTTGTAGAATAGAATCGAGTAGTTGTTTGTTGGGCGGTTGGACCTAGTTATTCTGTTGCTCTAAGTGAAACTTTATATAATCTTTTAGTTATTTTTTTTGTCGGTGGATATTTAGAGATGATAAATAGGAAAAGATGAAGAATGCAACATTCTTTCTAATTATGTTGTTAGTTAGCACTTAGCCATTAATGTGCAGCGTGTAGGCATTTGCAAACTTCCCTCGTTTCTCAGTTTTGGATCTATTTAGTCAAGTTTTAGTACATGTTGGTCAAATCAGGTGATAAAGGAGATAAGTAATGCCTAAATCACTATAAAATTGAATAAAATGAATTATATATTCCTATTCCCTACTTAAAAACTAACCTATTGTTGTATGCAAGCAAGATTTTTTTTTTCAAACCTCATCCTTTTCTACCTCGCCCCTAATATTTTAACCAGTAAATATTCTTAAATCTGTACCCTGAAACATCTTATAAGGTAGATTCATCTATACTTTCCATTTCACTCCGAGTAAGATTTCATGATGATTATGTTTATGATAGTTTGATTGATCTAGGATTTAGCTACACGAATTTCAAATTAACATGAGTAACTTGTCCATTCAATGAATATGAATTTAACTCTGGTGAAAATTACTGCAAAATATGTTACTTAGGTTATCAGGATCGGTAATTGCTTTACTTGCTATATTATTACTGGAAATCAGAAAATTCTGAATTCAAAGGCCATCGAAGCTTCTTATTTGGCGAATCAATGGGTGGAGCAGTCGCCTTGAAGATTCATCTTAAACAGCCTCAGTTATGGGATGGTGCAATTCTGCTTGCACCAATGTGTAAGGTAGTCTGATTGGTTTGCGCTATTGTGGTTTTGTTGTCCGTTTGCCTAAGCTTTTCAATCACAATAGTTCACGTAAATTGCTTTCTTTAGATAGCAGATGACGTGATTCCCCCTTGGCCCATGGTGCATCTTCTGATCGGTTTAGCCAAAGTTCTTCCCAAAGAAAAGCTGGTACCTCAGAAGGATTTAGCAGAAATGGCATTCAAGGACTTGAAAAAGCGGGAGCAGGTCATTCTATGAGACTCCAACCTTTCTTCATTTTTGTATAATTAATAAGATCTGCAATATTTCTGTATGAAGACACTTCTGGATGTGCACTTCTTTATGCAAAGTTATAATTTTTTTTTTCCATGTTGTTTTGATGCATACATTTCTCATAGAAACTCTGAAGATACGTATAACATTTTGCTACTTTATTATGCAGACTGCATATAATGTCATTGGTTACAGAGGTAAACCACGCTTGAGGACAGCCGTGGAGATGCTCCAGACCACACAGGAAATAGAACGTCGACTTGCAGAAGTATGTGATTACTCACTTCACCTTAATGTTCTGTGTCCAACTAAGAATTATTTAAGCTGTATATTTTGATTGGAATGAATTCTAGAATGGAGTGGAATCAATCCAAATTCACTGGGATAGGTTAGTTTGGAATCTTCTTAATGAATTGGACCAAATCTGTTATAGTTCTTGAGCTTATTGGTTTGTGGAACTGAAGGCATGAACACACTTAGTAAGGGGAATCGTAATCAAAGAAGGTTTACCTTTTCTTTTACGTAACCAATTTCTTAACTTTCATGTATAAGCAAAATGATGCCTGCTATTATTTTTATAAAATTACGTGTCATTACTTCAAGCATGTTTTGCATGATTAATGAGTTCCATCTAAAAGCTTGCATTTCAAGTGAATAATCACATCATAAGTATTCAATATATGAAGGATGCTTTACATGTTATCTAAGTCATGATAGTAAGTTCACAATTCATATATAACCATAGTTTTCAAAAAATGACTAGAGCAGCCAATTCGACTTAAGTATGCTAAATTTAAATTAAAAATCAAATTTAAAGATTTAATATATTTAAATTTAAAATTACATAAAATATTGTTCATGAACTCTGTTTATTTTTTAGTCACAAAATTATATGATTATATAATTATTACATCATTATTATATCATTTAGGATTTATTTAAATATTTTTTAACATTTATTAAGTCATCTGGTTCCACCTCTTTCAAATCATTGAATGTTGAACCTCTCATTCTTTTAATTTGATATTCAATCTAGTTTTCACAACCTTACATATAACATGATTATGAAGGGATCTTTATTGTACACTACATATATACATGATATTATGCAGTAACTTGTATGCTCGTCATAGTTGATGTTCTTGTGATTGAATGTCTGAAGTTAGATCATTAGAGTAATGAATTCTATCATAAATCAAACTAGGATTCCATAAATTTTAACAAGCCTTTAGGATCTTGTTTAAGTGTTCATCCGTGAATTGAAACTAGTTCAATATAAAAGATTTTCAACATTAAAGTATTACTTATGAAGAGATTTCCATACTTATAACTTATAAGTACCATTCATAATATCACATGAGTTCATTCTCCATTATATATTCTCTTTTAAAACAAAATTCAAGATAGAAATTTCATGAATTTTAAAGTAAGATAATGATATCCTACTTCTTGAGCTCAAAAAAGCCTAATAGATTGACTTCCAAAAGCTGTCCAATGAAAATCCTAGCATTGCTCTTCCTTCCCATGTCCGAGGCAATTACCATGTCAATCAAATAATTTACTAAATGTAGGTGATCTTCTACTTGCAGCTAGGGTTTCTCCATTTCCAAGAGGTGATGGAAGCTTTCAGTCAAAGCCAAATTACATCAACAGAGGTGTCTTTCTTCCTCGAAGTCTTTTAGTTCAGGACTACAAACCTTTTTGTGATTCTTTGGCAAGGCTTCAAAGCATCATCCTTATCCTCTCCTATCATAAAAAAAAAAAAATAAAAAAAAATTATCCTCTCCTCTCATTCCATTTTACGCCTACCCAGTTGTAAGTTCGGCGAACTTAGGTTTAGAAGCTTTTGGCCAACTACAATAATCTCTTACCTCTCTAAAATACTCGACACAATATATTAAACCTTCCCAATCCAAAAGCTATAAAACCCCTCCACATTTTTCTTTCAAGCACCATTGGAGCTAAGTGATTAGGCAATGTATTAAACGTGTTTCCAATATTCCAATTACCATCCTGAAAATATTTTGCCACTTTAGACGAGTTATTAAATAGCTTAGGATGGTAATCAGCTAAGGAGATATTCTTACACCATACATTATACCAGGAAGAGATGCCGCTAGCACCCAAACCCCAAAACAACCCTCTCTGCATCATCATTAATTGCATTAAATTTCTTCAACAACAAAATCCGAAAACTTCCCTATAGAAGATTAAATGAGCCCATAAGCTATCTTGATTTTTGAACTTCTTCCGAAGCTTCTTGTTAAAAATTGGAATAAGGTTGTTTAATCTCTTGGAAATTAAAGCATTTTTTAACCACAGGAAGGCATAATCCTTCAGATTTGTCCTATGAATTTTAGACTCAAGATTATTAAGAATCAATTAAAAAGCCTTATAAGTTATTAATATTTCAGTAAGAGTTGGAGGATGGAGAACTTGGAGCGATTAATTAAAGCATAGATCCCATTATCCTTTGAAAAAATATATTTTTATCCTTAGGAGGCAGAATTGTGTGTTCCCACATCCTATTATCTCGTCTTAGAGATTTTATTAGATTGAAATTTTTTTAGGTTCTTAGTATTTATCTTTATCATTGTAATATATTCTCATAACTAAGGATATTCTCCTCATTATTTTTTCCTGATTTATTACATGTATTTACCAATATGTAGGCGCATGTGTTAGTGTTAAAATAAATCGATAAGATTCTATGTTCCAATGTTGTATCAGAGCGAGGATGACCCAACCTCAATGATTGTTTGCCCCCTTCTCTTTGGTGACCTCTCTCCCATCTGATCTCTTTCTAGCCTCCAAGTTAGCATACCACGCGACTGCCTCTCTTATTGTATTTTTGAGCTCATCATGGAGCTCGCCTCTCCATGCCTTCACTCGCTTGACATTCGCTCTCCCCCATGTGTGTATTTGTGCTTGATTCGACTGCGTTCCGCCTGACGGGCCAATGCTCTCTTGTTGCTTGCTTTGCTGACATCTATGTGCTTATGCTAAGACAACCCTGCTCAAGTGTTGTTGGGCCTACTCATGTGCATTTCTACGTGCTTGTCATCACTCTGCATCATAGCTTGTGGCATTCTTTGGATATGGAAGATGATATTTTTTGTCAATATTGGACATTAGAGTATTTGTGTGAGAATTTAGGAACTCCAGGCCTCGGAAACTCTTCAAATATAGATAGAGGAGTGTGTCTACTTTAATTTTGAAGTATTTCACCATTTTTTCATGGTATTTTGGGTAGACAAAATGGAATTTAGAATTAGATTAGCTCAAGTTAGGGTTCTTCATGGCCGAGAGCTTCTATGGGACATTTGTGTGAATTTTTCTGAGAACATTATTGGATAAATGGTATGGAAGTGTGGAGGGGAGATTGTAGAAGAGTTCTACAACAAAAGATAGTCAGGGTTTATGCAAAGTACTTGAACTCATCACTCATCAAAATGACAAAACTAAAGGAATCGCCCAACTTCTCCACTGCTGAGGCCAGCCACCAAGCCTCTTCCTTCTTGGAATCCAATAATCTCAATAAACACACATCAACCTCTTCATTTTTCATTTCATAAAATGAATTATAAGAATTTACTTGCAATCAATTACTCTAATGTGAATCATAAGAGTGCTAATTACACACATCAATCTATTGAACCAACCACCCTCGACCCCTGTAGCTCCGGTTAGTCGGTTTTGTCAAAGTCCAATATTTCACTTTGACTTCTTTTGCTCGCGACTCTTAAGATTACGTGAATCCTCCCAATGAAAAGAAACTTTTAAATTTTCTTATTCAATGAATGAAAAAACAAAAATGAAAGGAAAGTTCTAGAAAGAAAGTTCTAGCATGTTTGAGGGTACCTGTTGCATCTGACCTCTTATGACAAATTTCTTTTTCTTTCAGGTTTCTCTACCTTTATTAATTCTGCATGGTGAGGCTGATAAGGTGACTGATCCCTCAGTCAGCAAGGCTTTGTATGAGAAGGCCAAAAGCTCAGACAAAAAACTCCTCCTTTATGAAGGTGCTTACCATTCCCTTATTGAAGGAGAATCTGATGAGATGATTTTCCGAGTTCTTGGTGACATTATTTCATGGCTTGATGACCACTCTGCTGAAAAGTCTAATAATTAACTTTGTCTCTCTCTCTCTCTCTCTCTCTCTTTCTCTCTCATCTCTCTATCTATCTATCTATTGGTTTCAAAACGAGTTAACAGGTAGAGCTTGGGTCCGACCCAAACTTGACCAGATATGAATTCAATCGATTCAAACTTGGCCTATTTAATAACAGGTCAAAGATATGGACTCAAATCCAACCCGGTGATAACACGGATGATCTAATAACCCGTTATGTGCATGATTGGTTTATTCAAAATTATATCAATTTTCATAGATCAGAATGAACCTGTCTGTCTTGTTTGTTTGGTTGTTTTAGGTTGCCAAAATATTTCTTATATAATAATGTAAAGTCTTAGCAAGCGACATGTTTTCTTTCTGTAAGTTATGTCCTTTGGATGTAATACTTTGTTTGGTAGCTCCATCTAAATTTTCAGATTTGGATTTATATATAAACTGTATTTGTTTGTTTGTTTTCTTATTTTATAAAACAACAACATCAAGTTTTTATGAATTCTTTTTCTCTATTATGTTCTCTTAAAAGTTGAATTCTTATTTAAATTTAATAAAAAATTTCATTTCTTATACTTTATAGTCAGTGGCGGAGCCAGAAAATATATCTAGGGGGGCCTAATTTTTTTTTTTTCTAAATTTTCCTTCAAACTTTTTACATCCAGGCTTAGGACCAATATAATTAGTATTAAAAGTGATAAAACTTTGATAGTGAATTAGTTAATTTTCTTCCTTCACAAAATGATTTCAATCATCAAAGCACTTAATTTCTGTTAGATCATGTTTAATATATTAACTAAATATGTGATATTAAAAATTTTATTTCACAAAAAAATCATAAAATCTCTTTAAGATCGAATCAATATAAGATTAAGATAATATCAATCAAGAAAAAAATGTAAATAAATAGGAAATTAAATTGGGAGTGATTTGAATGGATGATCAATTTTGATCCCGGACTGTTTATTGGGCATTTAAATGTCTTAGTGATATTAGAATTCGACGATCTTGGGCTTGTTGGATTAGTCTTGTCTAGCCGCTTGATTCGATTATAAGAATGTCATGTTTGGAAATCGTTTGGTAATACAAATTATGGTTTGAACCCTCCAAATATGCTTCGGGTCTTTGATTTGGAGTCATTTGGGTTCAGATTGAGTTGAATTTGGTGTTGTTGGGTTCTTATTTTTGAGACGTTCAGTTCGACTATAAGTTTACTGAAATTGGAGTTTATATGATCTCCAATTTAATTCTTGAAGTTTTCAACTTGATTTTGTCTTGAGATTAAAAAATAAAATTTTCATTTTTTTAGGGGGCCACGTGCCCCCCCTCCCTTCGCCCATGTTTCTAGCCAACTTTTTTTTTTTATATCTACCACCATCTTTTTAACATAGGTCAAATCTAATATATCTACTCTTCCAATCAGGTCATTCGAAGGTAGATGGTTTATGTGATCAAATTATTTAAGGTGATTCTCTTTAATCTTTTCTGCCAGTTGAGCTACTCTAATCTTTTAACGTATAATCTTAGTTCACATTTTATCTCTAATAATTCAGCTACTCATCCACCTGAGCATCGTCCTCTCTGCAACAATTAACCTAATTTTATGCTTCTCTTTCTTCTTATTTTATGTTGATTTCAAATGTGGGAGATATATTGCTTCTTATTTGTTGCTTGTAATTAGAGGTGAATAACTCCTTTCAATCCATGCTTTAGCATGTTATGTTGATTTCAACATATTGCTTCTTATTTGTAAAATGTTGAATTAGGGTTGAAGCCCCTACACAAGATATCATGCCTTCAAGGTTTCAATAGAGTTGGTGATTTTAATTATGTGGCTAATGACCTTTGAGGATTTTAGAAGATATAATAAATTCATAATAATCTTTGTAGTATTTATGCGAAAAAGGTTGGAGTAGCTCCAATGGTCGATAAGATTAGAGAGTATGGAGAAAAAGGGCATCCCTTCCTTCGTCCCAAAGACCCTAAAATTATTATTAATGATAGCATAAAATCATATATCATCAATTAACCAATAATTCAATTCACAAATATGTTAAGGTTTTTTTTTTTATAATAATTTTAAATGTTCCTAAAGAATGAAGATGTAACCACCATTTTTGTTGGACAAATGCTTTTTTGTTGCTTTAAAAAAAAATTATATTAAAAAGGTATTTTCTACTAAACTTTAAAATTTTATTTTTTTTACATCAGCTTTATAAAGCATTAAGAAAACCATCCAGAACAAAGCTTAAGATTTCATTTGGACTGCTTTAATGCTGCTTTCTAAAACGGCTTTCTAGTAAATTTTTTTTTATTTAGAAATATTTGTACTAAAAAGTTATTTTAGAAAATAATAAGAAAGCTACCCCAAATAAAGCCCAAGTCTTCCGAGTTCTTAATAATCAGCTATTTGCTCAATGATCTGTTAAGGAATTCTAAGAATGAAGAGCCCGTTGAAGAAGAGTGATGTCAATAGTACTTGTCAATAAGTCATAAAACCTAATCTGCTCATTTTTTAGGGTAGAGATTGTGCTAGAAATGTATTTAGAGTTCCATTTGGTGACTATGTGAAGTCTATTACAGGGCAAATTATTACGTCCGGTGTCCGGATTTGTTCAGACACCAATCCAGATGCACCACGTCACCAAACTACACTGGGCCTCGGTGTATTTAGATGACGTTGCATGTCTGGATTGGATGTCCAGACATCCTGTGACCGGACGTAATAATCCGCCCTATTACAGAAGGCAAAAATCAGATCACCCATAGCAAGAATGCACCAAGCAGCTGAGACAATTTCCAGAAAAAAATACATGCTTTTGATGAACAGAGAGAGAGAGAGAGATGTCACTGTGGTTTGAATACAAATTTCTTGGAAAATTATAGCATTATTCATCCAAATAATCCCCACGTAGTGGGATAAAGGCTTGATGTTGTTGTTATTGTTATTCATCCAAATAATAAATTGAAATAACTATCACTCATACAAGACTTCAGAAATCAGCCATATGGTTCTGAAAATGCAACAATTATTAGCCATCATCATAGGCCATATACAAATCCTTGTGGAAAAACCAAAATCAGTCCAGGAGAAATTATTCAGTGCGAAATTTGGATGGGAAGAACCGTCCGGATTGTGAATGACATACTGTAAACACACATGTATACAAAAATTTGATACACACTGTATACAAATATGTACACAGTGTGTACACATACATATCCGGACGATTCTTCCTGCCTAAACTCCACACATAATACTTTCTCAAGCATCTCAATGCTTGCTTCACAGCATTAAATGCTTCAAATAGATCCTCTATAATTGAATAATTTATCATATCATAGGAGAATGAAGTTCACTGCCCAAAAATTAAAAAGAAGAAGAAGAAGAAAATCTGTATAGTTCAGCTAATTATTCCTAAGCAGAACTGTAAGGCACATACCTTATTTCTTCTTTGAGCTCTATACCAAACATTCGATCTACCTTGTCCTTAACGAAGGCTATGAGAGCCAGAACGTCTTTGGCTGTCGCTCCACCAGTGTTGATTATGAAGTTTGCATGAAGCTCAGAAACTTTGGCTCCTCCAATCACACATCCTTTGAGGCCGGCGATCTCGATGAGTTCGCCGGCGGCCACACCGCAGCCCGCTGGGTTTCGGAAAACAGAGCCTGCGCTTCGTTCACTGATGGGTTGTGTCTTCCTCCTCCTGCAGATTCAGTTTATAGGATCCAAGGAAAAAATTTTCAGTTCAGTTCAGTTCTGGATAAAATGATAAATAGATTGAATAAAAAGTAGGTGAGATGTGTGTGATGGGTAGTTTAGGAGATATCAATGTGGATCTTAATAGTTTATAAGCAATGCTTTCACCACCGCTAGCCTCTACCTCCGCCACCGCCTGCCGGCCACCACCGGCCAACACCGGCCACCTGACCACCGCCGTCCACTGCCGACCCCGATAACTGTCAGCCACCTGCCGGACTACCATTAACCACCCTGACAACAATCTTTTTTGCACTTTACATTACATTCATTTTACTTCAAACCAAACAAAAAATACAAAAAATAAGAATCTTATCGGGTTCCTATTTCAAACATCCAAACAACCCTTTAATGAAAATGACATTTTTATAGTGCATGTAATTATTTAATTCCAAAAATATCATTTAATGAGTTCTAAATTATTAAATTAATTTAAATAATTAGAAAAATTACTCAAGTTATTTTTTATAATAGGAACCTCGTTTCATTTACATGATTTTAAATAGATTTCTTAATTTCATAAAACCAAAAAAATAATTTTTTATAAATTATAACCTAAATAAATTACATTAATTTGATAAAAATAAAAAACATTATTTTCTAAAAAAAAATTCTAAATTTAGAAATATTTTCTATCTTATTTTCATATTTTTTTTCAATTAAGAATACATTTAAAATAATTTATCAAAGCCTTAAATATACTTATAGCATAATTTAAGTTAATTAAATCTTAAATATACATATGCTAATTTCCTAATGAAGTCAGGTAAATTTGAACGGCTGGATCTTCATCATATAACCTTAAGAACAGTAGGAATGATTCACAATATTGCCATCGATTGGCATATTTATTGTTGGAAAAAACACCAAATGGCTAGCAGCCTAAGGTTTCATTTGGGATAGTTTTTTTTGTTATTTTCTAAAGCAATTTTTTAGTACAAAAATTTTGAATTTGAATTTTTTGTATTAAAAAAATTATTTTAGAAAATAACAAGAAAGTTGTCTCAGACTTCGTTTGGGACAACTTTTTTACTGTTTTCTATATTAATTTTTCAATAATTTTTTTTAAAGTAGCAAAAAAAATAGTAATCAAAAGCTTTTCCAAATGAAACCTAAAAGTTAGGGTTTAATATTACATGGTTAAATCAAGATGGATCCTTGAGTTTCTTTATTGATTTTGACTACTTGCAAGTAGATGTAGGCTCATTCAGGCTTCGATTGGGACAGCTTTCATATTGCTTCTTAAAACAGTTTTATATTACAAAAGTTAAAATTTTTGTACTTAAAAGCTGCTTTAAGAAACAATAAAAAAAGTCGTCCCAAACGAAACCTCAGTCTTGAATTGAGCTCTAGGGTGTAGCTCTTCCTCTCCCTCTATCACTAACGTTAAGGTTATGGTTTGAGCAAGGTAAGTGAAGAAAGAATCAGCTGGCTCTCTCAAGCTTGTTCTCTCCTGATGATTTCTTGTCAAAAGAAGGGGTCTAGCTTTGGCATAATCTCTCCCTCCCTCTCTCAAAATGGGCAAAAATAATGGATCATTATAAGCATTAAATGGTGTGTCCTTAGCCTAGGATTCCATGCCACCATTTTTTGGAAGGTGAATGAATGCCAAGTTCATTGCTAATAAACGAGAGATTATTACGTGTGGAGTTTGACACAGAAAATCATTTGATTTTGCGAGTGTGAAGAATAAAAATGCAGTTAATGTTCACCACTGTACTTTTATTGTTCACAATCATAAAATCGAACGGTTCTCTGTGTCCGAACTCCGTACATAGTAATCTCTCCCAATAAAGGGAGGATTTTTTTTTCAATTGGTTTAAATCCATTTAGCTATTGAGGGTTAGCTAAGTTACTTAAATTTGATTAAGATAGGCGGCCTATAGTATCTAAGGTAGTTGTCAAGTTAATGTTTAGATCGATTCAATTAAGCTAGGTTCAACCTATTTTATGGCTTACATTTGATTAGGACCTAAGACTTGACTTGAGTGGGTATGAGGGTCCAGAGTGTCTAAAGTAGCTCTACATTCGGACGCCAATAACATGTCGCCACGTGGTCTTACTCAATACCGCGTGGCCCAACAACTTGACTCGGGATTGCTATATTCACGTATTGCTCGGTATTGCTAGGTATTGCTTGGCAATAATGAAAAATATCGCTCTGTGAAGACCAATACCGAGTAATACCGAGAAATACCAAGCAATACCGAGAAAAACTCGGTATTACTCGGTATTGGCCTTCACAGAATTGTATTTCTCGTTATTGCCGAGCAAAATCGGCCAATACCGAGCAATACCTAGCAACACGCGAACATAGCAATCCCGTCTCCATTCCAGGTTGGGGTTGTCGGGCCACATGGTAAATAGTGAGAACACGTGATACTATTTTAGTGGCGTATGAACGTAGAGCTACGTCAGGTAATCGGACCAAATAAAAGTTTAAAAATAACAGATTATTACATGCAAAGTCCATACATAGAGAACCGTTCGGTTCTTTTTACTATAAACAATAAAAGCACAATAGTAAACAGTAACTTTTCACAGTCACAAAACTGAACAATTCTCTCGGTCCAAATTCCATATGTAATAATCTCTCCTAAAAATAAGCCTGGTGAACTCAAATTAGCCCAAATTTTATGGAATAGATAGGATCATGAGTTGAATTGCTTGAATTGAATGAGAGTTGACCTAAAGGGTCATGGTGTGTCCTTAGGATTCAAATGTGTCAAAATATAACTGCATGACATAATATATTGAATTTTCATGTATAAAATGCGAATGAGATCAGTAGTGACTTTTCTCATAAGATTTGAGAACAAAGCCACCTCAATGAAAGTGATAGGAAGAAATTGGTAGAACAAAATGTGTGATATGCCAAGCTAATTTTTCAGATATATAACTTCTTACAACTTCTTACAGCTTCTTAAAGAAGTCAATGATACCTTTTCCTCATTCGATCTAAGAACACAAAATAAAAAATCAAGCAAATTGAAAAGGCATGCAAATTTCATATATAATATGATGTGTTGCTTCCTACATATTAGTTGCAGTGAGGTCAGCTATGACTATCAGATTGATTGACTTTCTCATATTGTAGATAAAGTCAGCGTTTTAAGTATGCAAAATTTGTGAAGTTTATGGGAAAATATTATGTGAATTTATTTTAAATGGGGCCAATACAAATAATAAAAAATTATCATAATATGTGACTAAGAAAATCAGAATAAAATTTTTATACAAGTAGTTAATATTATATTAATAGCAAAATTTAAAATTCTATCAAGATTACTTTATAATCAAAATATTCTAATATAAGTTTTTTTTTTCAAATAATAATTAATTATTTATATATTATTATTATTTCAAAATAAATTCAATAATTTGAAAACACATGGTAATAAAATTTTAATTAATTTTTCAGCCCATAAATTTCTCAAATTTTAAAATGAATAAATAAAAAAAACTATTCAATAAAAAAAAACTATTCAATACTTTTTTTTTTAATTATAAATATCAAGATATAAATTTTATGTAAATGAGATTAATTTTTCAAAATTTTTATAGTAATTTAATAAAATAATAAAGGTTTTCTGAACCAAAACTTTTCCACGTTTGGAGAGAGAAAAGAGAAAAGATAACGACAGGTGCTCACCTTTCAAGAAACTCCCGCTGCCGATTCCTCGCCGTCGGCGCCGGCCGTAGCCGGAAAGTGACGGTGAGAATCGCCGCCAAATCATCCATCTCCTGCAGCGACGACCATCGATATCCGAACCTCAAATCCTCCTTCCCCAAAACCCTAACCTCTCCTTCCCGATTCACCACTTCCACGCTCTCCACCACCTCCGCCGTCTCCTGCCCGTTAGCCCCGGCATTCATGAACGCCGCCCCGCCCACCGTCCCCGGTATCCCTCCCGCGAATTCCAGTCCGCCCCAGCCCTCCACCGCCGTCCTCACCCCGAGCCGATTGAACGGGTACCCGCTCCCGACCCGAACCCGACCGGGCCCAACCACTTCGACGGTCTCGTCGATAGACGAGCGGTTGAGGACGACGAGGCCGTCGAAGCCACGGTCGGAGAAGAGGCAGTTGGAGCCACGGCCAAGTATAAGAAGAGGGAGGGAGCGAGATCGGGCCAGGCGGGCCGCGGAGATCAGATGTGCCGGTCGGATCGCTTCGATGAAGAAGGAGCAGGCCCCGCCGATGCCGAAGGTGCTCAGGTCGCGTAGCAGCTTGCGGTTGCCAACGTCGATGCCGGCGGATGGTTCTGCGAGATCGGGGGTGGGAAGAGGTGGGAGGAAGAGGAGGCGGTCGGAGGCGGCTGCGCCGGCGGCGGTGGAGATGGGATGGAGTGGGAAGAGGCTTCCCATTGCCATTTCAAGAGAGAGAGAACTGGACTTGATTTCTTCAGATTTTTCCTCTCTCTCTCTACTCTGCAGACGATCTGCACTTCCTAACGGGATGGTAGCCGGTTTATACGCTCGTTTCAAAGAAAAACATTAAACAATAATTTTTTTTTCACTATTTTATTATCTAAAATATAATCATAATTTTATTTGATTATTTATTATTATTATTTAAAATTTTATGTAAAAATATAAAAAAATTAAAATAATCCTAAGATTATTGTATATGACTAATTTAGTCCTCGACTTTACAAAATTAATTCTTGTTTTGTGTCCCAAAGGAATTATTTTGTATAGTTGCGAGATTAAATTTGAGTAACGATATACTCTAGAACTAAAATGATCATATATGAATAGTTAGGTGACTAATTTAAAATTTAATTGATAAAAATTTATTTTTTACAGCAAGAGTTGCTCGTGTGGTAATTTTAAGGAAGCAATTGTTCGATATATTAAAAAAGAACATATTTAGAATAGACACAGTAGCTTTCAGAAAAGTTATTTTTTTGAAACGAGCTTCCTTACAAAATATTTGTAGATATCCCAAATAAATCCTAAGAGTTTTATGTATTTATATTCAAAATATTATAAATATTAATTTAGTTAAAGAAAATATATATTTATGTATATGCTTTGTAATTTAGATAATGAAATGGTAGATAATTAAATGCAAAAGTTTTGAAGTTAGATATAGAAATATATAATAACTTTGTGGTAGCTTTGCAAAAGGCCAAATTAAGGGGTTATATTATATTTTTTTTCTTTTCTTTTTCTTTTTGTTTTATACTTATTTTAAATTGAATTTAGGGCTTGGTTGGTTTGAAGAATTTAAAATAAATGAGATTTTTAAATATATAAAGTAAAGTGAATATATGTATTTTAGAAATGGATAAGTTGTTTGGTTGTATGCACATCAAATACAATAATTTTTTTT